ACACACACACGTGCTAACTACGACACAACCACTCCCCATTACACACACACACACGTGCTAACTACGACACAACCACTCCCCATTACACACACACACACGTGCTAACTACGACACAACCACTCCCCATTACACACACACACACGTGCTAACTACGACACAATCACTCCCCATTACACACACACACAACACACGTGCTAACTACGACACAACCACTCCCCATTACACACACACACGTGCTAACTACGACACAACCACTCCCCATTACACACACACACACACGTGCTAACTACGACACAACCACTCCCCATTACACACACACACGTGCTAACTACGACACAACCACTCCCCATTACACAACACACACGTGCTAACTACGACACCACCACTCCCCATTACACACACACACGTGCTAACTACGACACAACACACGTGTGCCAGCACGCGTCGACTATCAAGCATGTCATTGTACAGTGAGGGAACAAAGTATTTGATCCCCTGCTAATTTTTTACGTTTGCCCACTGACAAAGAAATGATCAGTCTATAATTTTAATGGTAGGTTTATTTGAACAGTGAGAGACAATAACAACAACAACATCCAGAAAAACGCATGTCAAAAATGTTATAAATTGATTTGCATTTTAATGAGGGAAATAAGTATATGACCCCCTCTCAATCAGAAAGATTTCTGGCTCCCAGGTGTCTTTTATACAGGTAACGAGCTGAGATTAGGAGCACACTCTTAAAGGGAGTGCTCCTAATCTCAGCTTGTTACCTGTATAAAAGGCACCTGTCCACAGAAGCAATCAATCAATCAGATTCCAAACTCTCCACCATGGCCAAGACCAAAGGGCTCTCCAAGGATGTTAGGGACAAGATTATAGACCTACACAAGGCAGGAATGGGCTACAAGACAATTGCCAAGCAGCTTGGTGAGAAGGTGACAACAGTTGGTGCGATTATTCGCAAATGGAAGAAACACAAAAGAACTGTCAATCTCCCTCGGCCTGGAGCTCAATGCAAGATCTCACCTCGTGGAGTTGCAATGATCTTGAGAACGGTGAGGAATCAGCCCAGAACTACACGGGATGATCTTATCAATGATCTCAAGGCAGCTGGGATCATAGTCACCAAGAAAACAATTGGTAACACACTACGCCATGAAGGACTTAAATCCTGCAGTGCCCGCAAGGTCCCCCTGCTCAAGAAAGCACATATACATGCCCGTCTGAAGTTTGCCAATGAACATCTGAATGATTCAGAGGACAACTGGGTGAAAGTGTTGTGGTCAGATGAGACCAAAATGGAGCTCTTTGGCATAACTCAACTCGCCGTGTTTGGAGGAGGAGGAATGCTGCCTATGACCCCAAGAACACCATCCCCACAGTCAAACATGGAGATGGAAACATTACGCTTTGGGCGTGTTTTTCTGCTAAGGGGACAGGACAACTTCACCGCAGCAAAGGGACAATGAACGGGGCCATCTACCGTCAAATCTTGGGTGAGTACCTCCTTCCCTCAGCCAGGGCATTGAAAATGGGTCGTGGATGGGTATTCCAGCATGACAATGACCCAAAACACACGGCCAAGGCAACAAAGGAGTGGCTCAAGAAGAAGCACATTAAGGTCCTGGAATGGCCTAGCCAGTCTCCAGACCTTAATCCCATAGAAAATCTGTGGAGGGAGCTGAAAGTTCGAGTTGCCAAACGTGAGCCTCGAAACCTTAATGACTTGGAAAAGATCTGCAAAGAGGAGTGGGACAAAATCCCTCCTGAGATGTGTGCAAACCTGGTGGCCAACTACAGGAAACGTCTGAACTCTGTGATTACCAACAAGGGTTTTGCCACCAAGTACTAAGTTATGTTTTGCAGAGGGGTCAAATACTTATTTCCATCATTAAAATGCAAATCAATTTATAACATTTTTGACATGCGTTTCTCTATTTTGTTGTTATTCTGTCTCTCACTGTTCAAAAAAACCTACCATTAAAATTATAGACTGATCATTTCTTTGTCAGTGAGCAAACGTACAAAATCAGCGGGGATCAAATACTTTTTTCCCTCACTGTACAATGACAACGCCCAGCAGCAACCGTGACAAGATGATGGGTCTAATTAACAAAATAATCCACGCACACAATACAACGGAACCAGCTACACACAGTGTATACTCGGTCAATTCATACTGCTACAACAGCTTGCAGGGGTATTATGCAAGACTTGCAATTACATTGTGACAGGTAACCATCATTCGTCACGAAACAATCGTGTTGTTACGTAATTTTCCATTGAACTAGGATGCATATCTTCAGGAGAGAGTCCTTGCCTATAACATCTGGCAGTTGACCAACATTGGTTCAAGCAAGCCTGACTCAGCTGATGAAACACTGAATGGTGAAACTGATCCTACTGAACTAATTCTATTCTACAGAAGGCCATGTGGTATGTTTCTTGTGGAGAGACCGATTTATGATGAAGACATTGTCTGCTTGTCTATTTCATCATTCTTCTGCATTTTTACTCTTTGAAAACAAGTACATTAATAAGTTATAATATTTTTCACTTTCATATAAGTATGGTGCCAACACAGACTTGGTGTTCCGGGACAGCCCTCACTGCCTCAGCCAATACTTTTCCATAACAATATTGAGGGATAGGAAAAATGTAATCATGGTCTCGAAACAAAACTCTGCTTTGTATTCACAAAGAAATGCAGACTGGTGGAACAACGTGTCCCGCTGTAACGACATACAGGACACTGTCGCGGTGCTGTAACGGTGGTCAGCGCACTGCTGGGCTTGAGACACAGAGGTCACGGGTTCGATTGCATCCCTCGGCATGGCAGCCGAAGCTCCGGTGCAGGTTTCTCAACCTTGCCTGTCCACTCAGCGAGGTAAAACTGGTACCCCCACAGTTGAGTCGATCGACGTACCGTGCGTGGCGGGGTAAAGTGTGGGTACTCGCTGCACGTATGTTGAACTTCTTTTCGCACCGTACGTAGCCAACCGTGCTAATTGGAGGTGCGGGGGGAGGACAACGAACTAAAGGCAAAAAACAGCTGTAAAGAAATTATGTTAATCTAGACTCCCGCCTCTTTCATGACGTCTTGCCAGCATGGCAGAGTAGAGGGGCTCTCTAGAGCCCCCCCTAGTGGACGCCCTTCCACCCGCAGTGGCGTGAGCAGGGCTGCGCCTCTATCTTGGCCGAGCGAGATGCGGCGCGGAGAGAGGCGGCCGGGCGGCACCCTCTCTGTGAACCGGGCGCCAGCGGCCTCCTTCCTCCTGCCGGACTTAAAACAACACCCACTACTATGGCAACGGGATTTTTTTTATAATGTAAAACAAATATTTTTACTGCGACAGAAATAAAAAAATACTTTACGGTACAAAAATGTAGGGAGGGCACAAGGATATATATATACTTTAGGAAAACAAGTTTTAAAATATACCAGCCCAACATAAAGTAAGCCTTGTTTTGAAGGTACACGGTACCAGAGTGTACACATTACATTACTTTACATGCTTATCGTAGCAGCTTTCAAGGTCTAAGTTTTGCGAGGGATGGTCAAATTGATTCACATTGCGGTGCATTGTTTCTGTTCACGGCAAAGGTGCGGCCCTGCAATTGCTTGGCTCACGCCACTGCCGGCGGATGGGGCTCCACCACTGGATGGAGCGCGAGACAGTCCCTCGAGGGGGTATTTGGCCTACTCTTCCACGCTGGACAGACGTCTTGGAAAAGGTGGGAATACCCACATTTGATACCACCACACACAATCTGCCGACTGACGAACCGTGGGGTGCACATTTGTACGGCTTGGCAGTTCCTCAACGTATTCACATTTACCAAAAAAATAAATACCGGGCAATTTAGATTCTCATAGGGCGAGTTATTCCTCCAACTCCTCAACAGAAACCCGGTGAGTGAAGACCGCTGGAAGCAATTCACCCTCTCCCATGTAGATCGCTCCTTTACCAAGTCACGTGGTGGAACAGTCATCGATGATTGTGTGCTGTGCCATTTGCATTCCTCCCCGCTCCATTGCATTGTGGAGCTCCTTGGATTGTCTTCGTTCGAGAGACGCGAGCGTCCTCGAGGGGAGCGAGCATCCTCCGCTGGCATTTCCTCCTCCTCCTGCCGGCATTAATCACGCACCCCGGCTTCGCTGCCAGGCCCCATTTGATTTCAAGAATTCTGACCATTACAAAGTCGAAGAACATCTCTCTAAGACATTACCAAGTCCGCCCGTCCCTGATGGCGTCTCCATACGTGAAAAGGACTTCGGAGGAGGTAAGTATCGCTCAACTTCATGGTTTATTCGCAAACACATAGAGACCATACTTATAGGGGCTTCACTCCAGAATCCGCCTCGAGCTCTCAACGGTTATCAACTATCCCTTATTCATTATTTTAATCTTCCCGCCGCTTCACAATCTGATGTGAATGCTCCGATGCCTTCCTATCAGATTGGTGTGTGGCATCACCAACCAAGTCGGCTGTCGGTAGCTCTGCTACTTTTAAACTTGGTCTGACCGTGAAGTCGTTAAGACTTCTGGCAGGTGACCCCACACACAGGCGTAGGGTTGGACGCCAGGCCTAACCCTGACATATGGATGGAGGCGTCTCCAATCCCTCGCACTGCTGAACCAGTTGGACGGCCTTGAGGCCAACTGTTTATTCACCGGTTCTCAATATGGCCTCTGCTCACGTTAAACAAATACTCCCCTTTAAATTCAATGATGTTTCGCTTGGTTCAGAATCCTGTCGGTCACAACAACCTGAATATCTTAATTAACCACAAATATCCCTTTGAAATGACAACCCGCACGAACCTGTGCGTTAAAGTATGGATAAACAGCTCACACTAACGATACGGCGCAGCTAGGCTCCCCGGCTGTGGGTTGCCAAAGCGCTGCTAATTCCCTGGAGCCTCGAGCATCTGATGCCTTCACTGATGAAGCAACTCCACAATGCCTGGTGAGGAACAAAATTGCATTTCCGACCTTTCCTCCACTGCCACCTCATCGCCACCGCATCGCCACCTCATCGTCTGCTCATCCTGCTGCTGCGTCTGCTGCCGTGCCCACTCGTGAGGACGTCTCCTCCAGGCGGACCGCGTCCACTCGAATCCACGGCTCGCGATGCGTGCCACGGAATCGCTCGTGCAATTACCGATGACTTACGCCTCGTGCAAGTCACGTGCTCATGTTACGTGTCGGCTCGTTGAGCGAACAACACGGGACACGGTAGACAGGAAAAACAATGAGAAACAATGCAAACGAGACGGAATATACAACGCAAAAATGCGTCCACTGTTGAATCCAATATTGACCTTTGAATCATGAAAATGCGCTCCACCACCGGGAGGGCGATTCGGTCCGAGCTCATCTCGCCCCGGCAGTAGCAGCTTTGACTTATTGTCGACCTATTGTCAATAATTCCCAAGACTAAACACCCGGACACGTCCGATCTCATCCAGCCTGGACGTTACTGGATGGGTGATCGCCATGCACAAACAAATCGGGGGGCTGCGTGGCGACGTAACGAGCAGAGGTCGGTGCAGAAATATCCATCGTTGTACTCTGCTTCTACGTGCCACATCCACGTGCTGACCAGCGCGGTGAAGTACGGCTGAGTAATCCCTATGGTCCGTAGAGTGTGGCGGAGGAGGCCCTCAACCAGCAGTGGATTGACGCAAGGGTTGTGCATGGACATTGTCAATAATGTGACCTCTTAGCAGGGGCCAGGCTTTATTGCAGATTGCATCATTCACGTAAAACAGGCCACAAGTTAAATAGAAAACATTTGTCTGCAGAGAAACCACAGCCGTGAGAGTTCCCTCACTACGCATCTCGGTTGCACGAGGCGAGTGAAAGATTCGCGGCCATAATAGTTGTCCCGAATGTCGGGATCCATAATAAAGGGTTAAATATTAAATCTAATGGCATTATGGTGCTAACCAGGGTGGTTAATTCAGCTCGAGTGCATTATGTTATCTGGTGTGCCAAACAAATCAGTGTACTCAAAGAGCCGGACCAAACATTCCCATCATAGCCGTTTAACCAAAACGGACATAACCACAGCAAGTTCAGGCCTTTTGTGATCGTCCGCGCCAATAGGAAGTTGTATATTTCCGTCCAACTAACCGAGGTCTCACCGCAACTTCTGGACACTCTGTTCTCGCAGTGACCACACCACGACGACCAGCAAGGTTACCCGCCTCCACGGAAACCAGGTCATTCCGCAGAGAGGTGATCACAGAACCAGAATAAGTAGACATTTCAAGATGCGTATTCGGGTTACAAAAGCAGTGCATTCTGCTGTTAAATGTGAACTGCTTTAGAATAAACCTTGACACCAGAAGCAAAGGAAGATGCAACTTTACAGTGGTGATGATGATTCAGCGTTTCTACCAAAAATAACTTTAGCCGGACAACTTGTGAACTTATGCACACAGCGGGTAAACGCGACATGCCACGCGCGGCGCCCACCCACAGCGTGTTGCTCGGGGCTGTGCGTCGCCGAGTTTCCTCCCTACTTGAGATCTTCTCAGGTTTGTTCTGTTACCCACCGGTTTAACAATTGGCAGCATTTCAGTGAAATGCCCTCCGTGAAACTTTCTCAACGGGGTTCGTGGGGTGTTTCGAGTGGAAGAACATGGTGCTGTGCACCGTGTTCTCAGTTCCATTTCTGGCCACGACTCACATCGGTGGCGAGTGAAACCTGAGCCGGTTCCAGCTCTCAACAATTCACAAACCACCCCGCACTGACCGGCGTAACGAAGTACGTCCCGATAACCCACAACACGAGCGGGGGGCTGTAGGGGAGTCCCTCGTCCAGCAGTGGATTGACCAAAGCGCTGGACGAGTACGTACACCGTGAGGTCGAAGTTTTCACCCCTTAGAGCCACTGGATGTGTCTTTGTTTAGCGCACATCTGACTATGAATGCGCTTGTTGCTCTGACAGTCCAGGCACGGTGGACTGCTCTGTACAATAGAATGCGCTGTTAAAAGGCACCTGAAGACATCCCCTGTTTCCAAGCCCACCTACTACACCAGACAGTAGCCACTCGCAGAACCTTGCACAGCGCGGAAGTTTCCACCAACGGAAAGTTTTACAGATGGCACGACGCGAAGGATTACGCACTCACGGGCGTTTGCAACGGTGGAGTTGCGCTTGCCGGAGGGTACGCCCTGAACAGGCACGAGCCATTCGCAGGCACTGCTCACACTCGTGTGTACATTGTGCGTGTGTGTGTGTGATGCATATATGTACATGTATATAGAAAGCTCTAGAATTTAAAATTGGCGCAATGTTTTTCCCCTGGCCAGGATTCCTGGCAGAACCTTTCTTTCCATTATAAACATTTCCTGCCAGGAGAGTCATAATCGTATTTAAATGCCATCTAAATTAAGCAATTTCAATTCGTCAAATACACAAGAGACCGCACGGCTTGTTCTGCTGTAATATTTCACTGTGGCGCTGAATAATAGGCGGGTGGACGGGTTTGAAGTCTGCGCTAATTCACCGGCGAGTCGACCCCACAGCCAAACAAACTATTCAACCTGTCTCTCCAGTCGATGCGAAACTCCCATTAAGTGTTAAATTCCTTGAAAGCCGAGACAAGAGAGTGAATCAAAATATGCCTGCTCAGTGGGTAACACGCTTCACTATATGAACCCGGCGACCCGAGTTTGATTCCTGGCTCTGGCTTACTACATCAGTGATGAGTGATATCTGAACCCATCCTGCTTTTCTTTCCCCCTTCACCAAGCCACACTGACCAGAATGGTGAAGTATAGTCACACAACCCCCATGACCGGAATGGCATGGGGAGGCTGAATTTTAAGGGAAAAGGTCACATAGTGCATTGTGGAATTCTCTCTATCAGTCCCTTGACATCCAGACGTTATTGTATGTAATTGTGTACTCACGTCAAAGGAAGACATGGCCCAATACATGGTTGTGTTTAAACTGGCTGAAGTAAATTCATGTAAATTCAAGTTAACTTATAAGCACAGAGCTTGAGGCTAGAATTAAGTGTGCTGCCGTGGCATGAATGAAGATGAACCAGGACCAACCGCGGATTGTACGGTCCGGTGCAGCCAGGGAGCTCTGCTCTGTGCTGGGTTACACAGCTCAGGTGTGTCTTTACTAAACAATAACAACAACACAGCCGCTTCTTCACATTTAAATATTCCATTGATTTACGAGTCGATCGGCAAGTCACGTGTGGTGGGGCAAAGTGCGGGTACTGCCACCACTTCCAGGATTACCTCCAATTAGCACGGTTGGCTACTGAAGCAATCCGATGAGCTATGAAGCTCTTTTTCACAGATGTCGAATTGAACATTAGTACAAACAAGGCTTGTGGAAGGAGAGGCCAAATACTCTCTCGACGGACTCTGCAGAGCTCCCTCGAGGAGAGGCCCTTCCGCCAGCGGTGACGCGCGCGAGATGTTGCAGGGCTGCGGCCCGTGACGCGCTTGCAAGGCGTGAGCCAAGTTTGCCGTGCCCAAGGAGTTGTGAACACTTCTCGCTCACAAGAGCGGCGCATCGTGAGCGGCCGACACAGCCCAAATCCCAAATACGACGTACCCACGCATTCCAACACAAACATAAATACAAGACTCCAAAAAAGGTTGCCGAGGTCTCCGCTTGGCAAAACGCGCTTTGATCATCTGACCCCTGTGGAGGCACAGCGGTAAGCGCACCGCACGCCGTGGACCCGGCGACCCGACTTCCGCTGCACCGCTCGCACGAGTGGTGAGGGAGGCCTGTGGTGTCTGACCGCCCTCCTTCACCAAACCCGGCGTACGGGAGGGCCTCCTTCCTCCGGCAGCGGATTGACCAAGGCCAGAGAGCCAAACGCAATGTCAATTACACAAATTTGCGACGCATTGTCGTCACTTAAAAGGCGTACGGAACAAGTTATGACAAAAAAAGATAAACGCGTGATGACAGATGACAGAATGGAAATCAGATGAACCAAGCACGGCCATGGTGGGAGTCAGCGTGTTGACAAGAAGGATAAAGGAACCGACCAATGGGTGATGAGGGCTCTAACGTGTTGAACGGCAGAGACGGCGTGAGACAAAATAACCATTAGCGTCCTTGTGGAGGACAGAAATAACAAAATGCATTGCCACCTTCGCATAACTGTCCATCGGCGTGAAAATATAATAATGCTTTACACATCCCATCAGCTACACAGCCTTCTGGCAGTGCATAACTTCAGCAGGAGTGGTTCAACTCAAGCTGAGCAGAATAAACAATTGACCGCTTCACAACTCAATGCACGTCACATCCTTCAGCTTATCAGCCGTGGCACATAACCACAGTTAATAAAAGTCGGGGTATGGCCTGAACTGTTCAGTTCTCCTTGGTGCGGCCGATACACTTGAGATGTAACGATGCATCGATTCACCGGTTAATGTCGGTTCTTAAGCTCATGATGCGTGCATCGAGCCACACGTGTAAGAATAATTTTCGATTTGAAATCATGACTGGTCGTGATCTAATCACTGCTGGATCAAGGTCTCCCACAGCTGCCGGCATCTATCTCAATTCTGCGATGCAAAAATCCATCCAATTCCTGCATACGATCCGCTTTCACCACTCCATCTCCACGGTGAATGACGCCCTCTCGGACGTGACCCCCAACCTCTGGTTGCCACTCGTATCGTGTGTCTCCACCAACAAGACAACTCTATAACTTGCATCAAGTTACGCAGATATTAGTATGAGAGCTATATAACCTGCGTGAAGCCATATAACCTGCGTTAGTTCTGCAATCCTAATAGTTTGATTCGTATATGTTGTAAGTAATTGGTTCACGTGATGCCTTGTAGCCATTAGTGACCGCTACATTCACCATCAGTGACCGCTCCACATTCACCATCAGTGACCGCTACATTCACCATTAGTGACCGCTACATTCACCATTAGTGACCGCTACAGTGACCATCAGTGACCGCTACATTCACCATCAGTGACCGCTACATTCACCATCAGTGACCGCTACATTCACCATCAGTGACCGCTACATTCACCATCAGTGACCGCTACATTCACCATCAGTGACCGCTACATTCACCATCAGTGACCGCTACATTCACCATTAGTGACCGCTACATTCACCATCAGTGACCGCTACATTCACCATCAGTGACCGCTACATTCACCATCAGTGACCGCTACATTCACCATCAGTGACCGCTACATTGATCAATACATCAGCTGGCGTGCAGGTGCTGAGCGGATTCTCAACATCACTGAGCCGTGGCAGGTGGCGATGGCTTGTGGAGGCCTTCATCCAGCAGTGGAGTGATCGTGACTCCTGATGATGATGTTGGCAAATATCTACGAGCGGTTAACGGCTTGTGGTTTGAAGGTTGTTATGCCACAGTCTGAGTTGAAGCAACCGATGCTGAAAATTGTTAATGTGTTTGTGGTATGCGGTTGCTGCATGCGGCGAATTAAATCCACACCATAATGATGAACACGTGCTGCACAGCCTGTGTTCACTTGAACCCAGAGTTACATAAACTCAGCACCATCACCCGTGGCGCATCGACAAGTGACGTGAGTTTGAGCAATTAACCCAATTAAACACAATTGCTTGAATTGATTAGCGATTCAAGGAGGCAATTATACAAATGTCAGTTACTTGATGGCATGAATGAACTTCACAGATCTCCAAGCCATTCCTGCAGTAGCCAATGCGAGCCTTGGCGACTCATCATCACCGGCCATGATCAATCCACTGCTGGATGAAGGCCTCCTCAAGCCGTTGTTGCCACCCGTCACGGCCCTGCGGAGTGACAATCCACTCAGCACCTGCACGCCCACTGATTTGTTGGTCAATGTAGCGGTCCGGTGCCAGCCCGGTGCCAGCCAGCCTGGTGCCAGCTAGCCCGGTGCCAGCCCGGTCCCAGCCGGGTGCCAGCCCGGTCCCAGCCCGGTGCCAGCCAGCCTGGTGCCAGCTAGCCCGGTGCCAGCCCGGTCCCAGCCGGGTGCCACTCTCCTCACCTCCACGGTGCCCTGGGGAGCGCCCCGCGCGCAGTACGGCATGGCCAGGCGGCAGCAGCGCGGAGCCCGGTGGCAGAGAGGGGGAGATGGGGTCAGGGAGAGCGTGGGGAGAGTGAGAGACAGGAGACGGAGAGTGAGAAGAGTGAGGGAGAGTGAAGGGAAAGTGAGGAGAGTGAGGGAGAGCGAGAGACAGGAGACGGAGGGGAGAGAGAGGAGAGCGTGGGGAGAGTGAGAGACAGGAGACGGAGAGTGAGAAGAGTGAGAGAGTGAGGGGAAAGTGAGGAGAGTGAGGTAGAGTGAGAGGGGAGTGAGAAGAGTGAGAAGAGAGAGAGAGGGGAGAGTGAGGAGAGCGTGGGGAGAGTGAGGAGAGAGAGAGGGGAGAGTGAGGAGAGAGAGGAGAGTGAGGAGAGAGAGGGGAGAGTGAGAAGAGGGGAGAGTGAGAAGAGGGGAGAGTGAGTGAGGGAGAGAGTGAGGAGAGAGAGGAGAGAGTGAGTGAGGGAGAGTGAGTGAGGGAGGCGGGTGGCGGACGACGCCGCCCGCCCCCACCTGACGCTGCCAGGAGACTCCGCGCGCCGCCGGGGACAGCGGTCAATTGCGCGGCTCTCTGAGGCAGCGCCACGACGCGAAGAGACCGCGGTCATTTGCGACTGCTTCCAGGGCTGTCGCGTTGCGCACTGCTGCTGGCGAGGCGTTCCGGGTACTCTGGGGGATGGGATTGGGGGTGCGTGCCCCCCGAACGAATAGCCGTGCCCCCCACGCAGCCAGGCAGGCGTATCTTCTCAGTTTGTTGTCCTTCCCCAGACACTTCCGATAAGCACGATTGGCTACGTGCGGTGCGAAAGAAGTTCGACGCAGGGCAGGAGGCTGACCCGAGACACGTACTCGCCAGACGACGCACGCGATGCCTCGCGGAGTCTCGTGGCTCTTCCTCAGCAGGGTCCTGCCACGTTTGCCAGCAGAGAGCGATGGTCGCTCTGCGCTTCCCAATTCAGGGGTTTTCGGTGCGACTTTTCAAACTCGGCACATTTGAAGGGTCATGCCGGCAACGCAGCGGCCCACTCTGACGTCCACGGTGTATAAATAATTATGTTACGGTGTATATATCATTATCTTACGGTGTATATATCATTATCTTACGGTGTATATATCATGTTACGGTGTATATATCATTATGTTACGGTTAATATACACCCGCGGTATTCGCCCGGGCGGCCAGCCACGTCAGAACCGTAAACCTCTGCACCACACCCACGTGAGCGCCGCGAACAGAGGACTCCTCTTGGCCGAGCGTCTGCGTAACCCGCACTGGTTTCCGTTTGGTGGGCAGTCAAATATCACCGCGGCCTGCACACTCCGGGTCTTTATAACGTTTTCACAGCAAACTTAGCAGAGCACTAAGAAAACATGTTGGGACATTAAGCGGTTCAAATTCACACGTTACAATAATAATTAAAATATTTACGCAGTGCATAATATCCTCCTCCACATGATGTACACAAACGAGAAATGCATTCTGTTCATGTTCACGAATGTAACACTAGTGGCCAACATAAAACTTGGTAAATATTTATAATTATATTAAACATTGCAGGCTTACTATGTCTAAATCGCGACCCAGAAAGTGTTTCCCCACTCGGCACACCACATCCATCATACGCCTCACTCTGGCTGCGAGTCACTTGCCTAGACGACGTCCAGTGAGAAGTGAAGCCCCGAGTGATGGATCCACGAGGCCGCTCATCACTACACCCGTAGCTGTCAAACCACACGGTTTATTCGGCTGTATTCTTGTACAGGAATTGAGTTTTCAGGTCCATACGGCGTTACAGCCGTTTTTGTTTGTGTTTCTCCCTTGTGACTTTGTAGGATGAACGTTGAGATTTATAAGGGGCACGGGGTGACCAATAAGGTCTGAATTTGTCTGTAATAAGGTAGGGCACTGATAAGGAGTTGAGTGGTATGCTACGCCTGATGTTAACAGCCATTGGGGTTGCCACCTGTCCTGGATTTCCCAGGACGGCCTCTTCGTTGTGGTCACCGTCAAGGGAAATCTGCAAGTTCGGGTTCTGTCAGTTTGTAATAATGCACCACTCAAGGTGAAGCATGTGCATGTGTAGTGACACTGCGCCGACTGCTGTCCAGCAGCGGCAACTGCAGGTGGACACTTGGCGCACACGCCGTGAGCATGATGTACACAGTGCGTGTGTGTGCCGGCAGGGCGGAGGAACTGGGGCAAGGGTCGCGGTGTGGACCTCGTGGGGAGGCCCCTGGAACCCTCCGGTGGGTCCGAGAAGGGAGGCGCGGCCAGGGCGGAGCCAGGCCGCGCCGAGGGGAATAAAAGCAGCGGAGAGCGAGGGCTCCGGGCTGCCGGTGCTGGGAGTGGAGTCGTCTCGCCGTCGTCTTCGCCCGATCATTGCGCGGCCGGACAGCGGTTGACTGTCTCGGTCGACGCCGTCGGTGCAACGCGGACGGGGTCTTGTGTCTGGGCCGGGTCGTACGACAGTGGTCGTGAGAGAGAGGGGGCCTGAGTTGGTGGCGTGAACGAGATGATAGAGAGACGGTGCCCCCTGCGACTACCTCGTCTCCGACTGAGTGTGTGTGTGCCACACGCAACACTCACACAAAGCCTCGAGAAGGAAGAAGAGACCTACCACACTACACATGCACTGTAGTCAGTGCTTCAATTCAGCCGGAGCGGTCTGCAACACCGATCCAGGAATCATTTTAGCATCCAGTCACACCCTTCTCGCATGTATTGCTCTCATTTGACCTTGTATTCGTAGAAACATGTTCATAAGATATAGGAAAATAGGGAAGAACAATATTTGTCTTGTTATTATGGACAGGCATACGCTCTACTCTGGTGGTAGTGCCTTACATCAATAATCCCTACTCCAAGTAAAACCTAGCAGCTTTCGGGAAATATTGAAGTTAAAAATGTAACTTCTGCACGTAGTGTGCCTCTCTTCGGGTGTTGTGAGGTATCCGCTCCTTGCCACGATGAGTGCCATTTGCTCTTGGACCCTAGAGGTGGCAACCCTCGTGACCATGTCCATGGCTAAGTCGTAACGCTACAGTGGCAGGGGGTGGCAGTGCCGGATGAATCTAGTGCGGGGCCTGTAGCATATAATGTTATAAAGGGGCCCTGAATTTAAAACAAACGCATAAATATTAAAACACCGATTTTTAACTTGCATAGTAAAGTCATTGTATTTTTTTTATTTTCCATACAGCCAGATAATACGACAAATCGCTCACCTTCAACACCCAGTCGTTCATCAAAGTTGAAGACAGTATAGAACTATTGTAATAGAGCAAGTGCAGAATCACTAAACCGGAATTGAAAGCTTGAAAGCATTTAGTGCGGGACCCCTGAAAGTGCGGGGCCCATAGCTACTGCACGTGTAGCTACTGCACGTGTAGCTACTGCACGTGTAGCTACTGCACGTGTAGCTACTGCACGTGTAGCTACTGCACGTGTAGCTACTGCACGTGTAGCTACTGCACGTGTAGCTACTGCACGTGTAGCTACTGCACGTGTAGCTACTGCACGTGTAGCTACTGCACGTGTAGCTACTTTTGCTACTGGGATAATCCGGCACTAGGGGGTGGCTGGGCTTGTGGGGAGAGAGGCACCCGGCAGGGATGAAAGTCTCGGCGGCTTGGGAAGTGGGGAAGGGCGTCGACTCCCTCCTTCCCTCAGTCGCGCCGCCGCCCTCGCCCCGCAGGAACAGGGCCCTCCCTGTTGGCCAGCTCCCCCGGGGCCTGCGAGCAGCGCTGAAGCGACCCGCACACCCAGGGCGGCAGCCAGCGCCCCGCTGTGCCCCGACCCCGCAGACCTCCCACGGGCGTCACGGCAGCGGCCCCGGGCGCGCCGCGCGTGCTCCTCGCCCGCCCGCCCGCTCGCTCGCTCCGGGTGTACATTGTTGTTGTAGTTGATGTAGTTGTAATTACTGCGCGAATATATCATAGACGCGAGCGAGGGGC